ACTTCAAGTTTGTAGTAAGGAATCAAATCCTTGGTTTGGACATCGGTGGACTTGAGAACGAATGGAACGCATTCACATGACTCATTAGGTGGTTTCAATCGGCATTTCAAAAATGATACGTCCTAAACTAAAACGTCGAAATCAGTGATGCATTTTAAAGGAGAGACTAGAAATTAGGGACAAGGCAAGATAAAAGAAAATAAAGAGAGAGAGAGAAAAAAAAATGGAAATGTTGCTATCAATATTTCATGCCAATAGATTCCATGGCGCCAAGTTTTTAGTGCTTACTGCTTAGCTCCTGATCCAAAATAGCATCAAAGCATGCTACCATTATTATTTATGTTTAGAGGAACCATCACTGAGAGACAATCTTTTTCTTTCCCCAAAGTGAGGATGGTTCGATCTCATTGTTTTACAAGAAATTAAATTGACAGCAGTTTACCCTCGCCCACGCTCTCCTGTTCAATTTCACAAATGAAATCCCACAAGAAACATTATTCATCACTACAAAATAAAAAAAATCTCGAGATTTTTGACGGCTTTCGGATACTATCGATATCAGTATGTCCACTGATTGATTAATTCCATTATATTCTTTTGAAATCCTTTATAAAGTGAGTTTCGGAGAAATATAACAATTTCCATCAGTGGTTGTATGTTCATGCTTCGTTGTTTGCAATATATTTAATAGCATTGTAGTCTATCAGTTCAGAAGAAAAAAGCTTCACTTATAATATTTTGGGTATTTCGATCTGTAATCAGAACAATTTGTGAAAGTGGATAAAATCAGAAATTGAACTCAGAGTAAATTACTGAGGAAATCAATAGCTAAAATATACATGAAAAATATTTGATTCGATTTTCAAAAGTCGAGCAGCATTTCTTCTTAATAAGCATATAAAACCGTTCAGGAAAAGACATTTCAAGAATGTTTTACTTTTTTATGAACAACTAGTGCTAATTGGATAGGTTGGAAGCTAACTGAACAAAAAAATGCCTTGCAAATTCACTCAGCAAAAATCCTACCGTAATTTTATATTATGATTTCTTTCGCAGTCCCATTTGAGGTTTATGCCGAATTTAACCGTTTGAAAATAATGATATGTTAGCCCTTCCAATGTAACACTGTTAAAAAACGTAACCTTTAAGTAATGATTCTGAGAATGAGCGATGTGGTCCCATGAAAATATTCGTAAACTTTTTGTGAATCACTTAAACAAATGAAATTTCGCTTGATAATGATACAAACGTTGACAAATTAAGTAGTCTCATTAGCTGTCGCTAAACTGCTTTACTTCCCTTTCTAACAAACAATATTTATATCTTTGCGTCCTTCTTACTAAAAGACGCCAACTAATTACCATTTTATGAAACTATTCGTACTTTTCCTCAAGACTTTTTGCTGCTTTTCCATCAGGCTCTAGTGAACAGTAACATATCTACAAACCTGAATAGGTTAAAGATCAACGGTAAAAATTTAAAACCTTCGCTGTTTACAAAAATAGATTAAACATTATACTATTATTTGTAAAATGTTTGCTATCTGATCGAACATTTCAAACTTTTAGTATTGTTCATTCTCGCTGATTTATCATTGAGAAACTTCTTCATGGAAGTATGCATAAAATCGATTTCAAAAAAAAAAACAACCCTTTGTGTGAAAAAATTACATCCAATTTTCGTCATTCTAAAAACTTTTCGATTTTCCACCAATTTCAAATAACTACACTGCTTGAAGTTATACAAGCACAGAGCCTGCTTAAAGTTGGAAAAATTGGGATAGAAAAGAGTTTGTTAACCAAACTGAATCCTTTTTTTTTTTCAATTCCTTTAAAATAACTGATGCTAAATTACTACGGACATTAATCAGTCTAGCCTAGCAATAGTGTAAGTGCTAAATCTTGCTAGGTTGACCAATAATTTTTTGTTGCTGTCAAGTAAATGCTCTCCCCTCCCCAAGAAATTTTTTTTCACTGTCCACAAAAAAATTATTTTAAAAGACATTTGAATTTTTTAAAAAAATAAACTGGTCATATCGGTCTCTCCAAAGAATTGCAATATTTTCTTAAGAAATGATAGAAGCAGAACATTCTGTTCCATTTATGACCTCTTAGCTACTCGGGCTTTACTCAAAGAACAACGAGCAGTATCAACTAAATCAAAAATGTCAAAGCAAACAGTTTCTCCGGAAGTTATCACTTTATTGGGATTTAAACGTATTGCGACCATTATTTACATATTTCATGAAAATGACCATCCATCTTTTCATCCATTCCACTTCAAATTTCACGCCTACACTTTACATTGAGTTAAAAAATGAAAAGTTCTATGGAAATTTTTGAAAATTTCCAAAATAAGAAGTTCATTCTTGTGAAGATGCCGAGAGGTTCATTTCGAAATCATCAAAGTTTACAGGGAATGTATGCATTTAAAATTAAATGCTATCATTTTAGTTCTTGAAAAGGTGGACAATCAGTTCTCGTCTATGTCAATATACGTCTTTCATTACTTTTGATAGATTTCAAAATACTAAAATATTTTTATGAAATGAAACGAGATTTCAAAAAGACAAAAACACCACAATTTAAAAAAAAGTTTTTCAAAAACACAACTGTAAAAGGATGATTGAGGATGTATTTCTAATTTCCACCAAATCTTTGTTCCAAGAAAGCAAAGATTTAATTTCAATATCACTCGTACAAATTTATTGAATATGATAAGTTAAACTGCAAAAAGTAAAATGAGCTTTTTACCGCCTTTCTACTTTCATACAACTGAAATTTGAAACCTGTTTATTTCTATTTTGATTCTAAGCAAAAGAAGCATAGCATACTATTTTTTCTTATATTTCAACACAAAATCCTAATAATATTATAATGCTCTTCTATTTATTCCATAAGAAAAGTGTCATCGACCATAATCTTCCATGTCTGTTGACTCATTTCTCATTTATTAAATAAGAATTTTTGGAAAAAGTTTCTAATTTGTTAATTTCAAACTGCCTTTTTAACTGTGATTAAACAAAATTCAACAGCAACTTTGAATTACTTCGTATATGCAGCTATAATAACAAAGTGTGCAATGCTGGATTCATCATCACAATCTTTGGTTTAACTTATCCATTGATATTTGCAAATCGGACGATACGATTGATCATCTTCAATAAATATTTCAGTTCACTTCGTCCCTAACATTCCAATATGCTGAATGAAAATATAATTTAGAAGTACTTGTATGTTCGAAATTTCCATAATTTTTGGATTAATTTTAATTTGTCAAAGCAGATAATAAGTTATTGGCAAAGTGCCGGTAGAACGACATCTTTATTGAACCAGTTTCATGGATATACAGATTCATGGGTGGTTTGAAATTGAATAATGAAATCATTTTGATTATAAAAGTGATGTTACAAAAAGTTTGGAAATTATTTTTTACACAAAAAGAGAGAGAGGCTTTTTCTTTCTCTGCTAACCCATCATTCATAGAGCCAATACCTGTGACGACAATTTTCTTATCCTTAATTACTGAGTTCCCTCATCTAAGAGTCGTTAGTTCTAATCAGAAATTTATTATTCTTTTAGCTTTCGTCTTTCGGATAATGCAAGAATGCTATCTATCTATTCATACTCAAATTCTTCCTAAATCTATAATTTCTTCTTTCAAAGAAATCTCATTTATTTGTTTATCATTATTTCATTATTAGATTTTATCAAAAATAGAAAGATTGTTGACATCGAAAATATTCATTCTAAGGCTTTCAGAGGTCATCAATTCCTGAAACTTATTAGTGAAGATTAGTTCTGATAGGAGTGCCAGATCATACAACGGTTATGCGTTATTTCAAGCTGATAAACTAAATTATCAGTTAACTCATCCCAGCATATCAACCTAATAAATGGCCTATTGATAAGGTTGCAATAACCATCAAAAATTATAATTATTTTCATGAAATTAATTTTGCCACTTGTAGAATGTATATTTGCGCAGTGTAATTTATCATCGCATAGAGTTGACAGAAGGCATTAGTCATCGATAGAGAATGGGGTGGCGGTTATTTCAGTTAGACCAATGAAAGTGTCCCACCATCACGATGCAACTAAGGCTTAGACTCTGCTTAGTTTCGCTCTTGGCTAGTTATGACTATGCAGTTAACTCGTCATGGCAGATTTTTGTCATCTGTTTTAGATTTATTGCCTGAAAAAGCGCTAAATTTTTTTCCCTACGATAATGAAGTATTTTAAAAAGAACCGAATTATTTAAATAGGAAGAAAATTTCTTAAAAACGAAATATTCTTGACAGCCAGAATTGAGAAATATTCTTCATGAAGTTAACAAGTAAAAGAGCTTTCTAAGTGAGCCATGAAATTAAATAAGTCCGAATGAAATATATTAAATGCTTGGTTAATTGGTCAAAATTCTTCTTTTAATTTTTCAAAATTAATCAGCATGTAATATTTCACTTCATTTTGTGGCTCACGCTCTGAGGATATGGATCAAAGGTGAGAGTGCCAAAAGAAAACCATCAAAAATATCTGGAATATTGAACATATTCATGAGTTTAGAAAAGGACCAAAAAAATTTTCCAGTGAGAATGAGTGATCATTTTAGTGAAGGGAATCTTTTACAGTATCCCTTTATGAACAATTAAAATCTCAAAAACATAATGTTGCTCTGGATCATATTTCATTTCCGTAAGTAAATGATCATAATCAAAGTTCAGTAACTTCGACGGAAATATTCCCATCCGAAAACGGTTACGTTTCCAGATGTTTCCAGCATTATCTCTTTTTCAAATTAATTTGGTTGGATATAAACTTGTTCAGTTTCAGCGATATTTTTACAAAAATTTGGTGATTATTTTAACAGGAATCAATGATGTCTTTGCAATATCTAACGTGAAAGAATCTTATTGTAAACAGACGACGACTCATTCTATCCGTTATCTTTTTAATCCGTAATCTGTGGTCAGTCAATCATTTCAGGGTATCTTGATTAGATTTATGATTAAACGCTCTGTTTTGTTTGCATTAGCAGCTCTGATATCCCGGAAATTCTTGACACGTTGCTCATCGTTCATGGCAAAAAGTTCGGTGCAATCATCAGTAACATCTTTTTGGGTAACCGTTGAACCGCTAGCTGTTACATGGACCAAAGGATGTCTGGCTGCTGCTGGATGTGACGATTCCAGGTTAAGCTTATCTGAATGGAACTTAGTTAGCGATGAAAGGATTTCATCCAGTTGGTCTATACGCGAACTTTTCGTGAGCTTTTATTTGGTTTCAATTAAATCAAATATCATCTTTTAAATAATACTTTTAAATTTAAATAAATCGCTATAGTTGTTGTACCGATTTTGGTGCTCAAATCTTTTGTAATCAATTCACATTTCGAAATAGAGTGGAATAGTACTTAATTTAGGATTCTTCACATACATTTGTAAGTTATTGGAACAAAGGAAGACCTGCAGACATAACGTTCAATTATGAGGTAGTAGGCTCCGATCCAATTTATGGATTCTCTAGAACTTGCGATTTTACACGAGCAGTTCATGCTTTTGATGATAAGGTTCGTTTCAGTGATCCTTATTCTGTTTATCCACTCAATATCTTACTTATTACTTTACTTGCTCTTCTATTTAACATGAATTTTCCAGTGGAAATTAGCATCTCAATCAGCAGGACAAGCAATCACATCAACAACACTTTCTTTGCAACAGTTTGATAAAGTAACTTTAAATTTGACCGGTAAATGTTTTAATACAACTATAATGATACAAAAGTATGAATCTAATTGTCCCTGGTGCTCTTGTGGCGAAGGATATGCAATTGTTGACCAGGTAATCACTACCATTTTATAAACTTCACTTTTTATCTATTATATACTCATCAATATCGCCTTCTAATTTATTTTACACTTACCACTTCTTTATCTTAGTCTCATCACATATTGTGATTCTTATACCTTTAATTTAGCAATCTGTTCCACTTTTAGTTGTCGGAATCTGAATCACGTGAATTTCTGCATCACCTGAACAGTTCATCAGAAACGTTGGTTGATATAGGCCTAATGACACTATCAGCAATTGCGGTTGCAACGTCCGCTGCATTTTCTTGCGTGCTAATTGCATATCTTCGCGAAAGACGATCTAATTTCGAGAGAAGCGTTGCAAAGTGCAACATAAAGTGTAGCAACAATAATTTAACAATATACCGAGGGTACCAAACTCCCTCACATATGAAACAACTAACCAATATTGAAATTATTGGGTAGATTAGATGATTTGATCGTGTATGCTATAAAATTATATATTGGTAAATTACTGGGATGCATGTGTATTGTACCGGAAGTGGTAAAGAAATATTTTGAAACAAAATTATTGCTTAGCTAAAGGATCCAAAATTTTCTCAGACCTAATTCTTTCAATATTCTTTGCTCTGCAAAATTTAATTACTTCCGACATCAGGCCATATAAACAGGAAAAGTTTTCGATTTTATTTAGTTTCCTTTTTTCGAAAAAAAAGATTTTTGCTTTTTATTTTTTTTGATGCTTAAACATTCCAATAATTGTTGGCTTTAAGCGTAAATGCTTTACTTTTGTAAAGCGCCCAAAAATTATTCCCCCATTATCCAACCCAACCTTTTGTTTGCTTTAATCCTATTAAAATTTGGTGATTTGCAAACAATCCATGCTCATACTGAATTATCAATCAATTTAAGAATCAGTCGGAATCTAAATAGTTAGAAAAACTCCGTCAACCAATTGCAAACAGCATTTAAATAAATGCTTTAACACATATATTTCTACATACTGCTTACTTATGCATTTATAAAAGATTCAAGATCTCTCAAAACTTTTGAAAATTCGGAAGAAAAAAAAATGAAACGTCAGACTTTGAAACTGCTGGAACTTTGCCACTAAGCTTTTAACTAAAGTATCTTAATTCATCTGTTATTTTGAAATTTGGAAAACCTGTCATTAGAGAGATGTCAAACTTGATGTCAATTATGGGAAAGTGTATCATTGTCATTCTGGAAACTTTACCCTCTTTTAATATTATATTGATGTAGAAAAATACTAATAGACTTCCATACTTTCCCATAAATTAACTCTTACCCATAATTACAAGGAAGTAACTTATCGACAAGTAACTCTTACATAAAAGCGATTATGAATTAATAATTTTTGAGAAGGAAGACATAACTTTTTTGAATAAACAGCACTTACTTTTATAATTTTTACAAGTAAGGAATGTTTTGGGTATCAGTTAATGCATGATTATACCACACTAATGTCATATCAAATAGAAAACAGTCAAAAAGTCACCGGAAATAATAATTCAGAATATCGAATTGGAACCAACGACTGGAACATGGAATAAGCGCTACTTGATAGAGCACATACGTATTACTAGCCTATTAATATGTCATCTATTTATAAGGGTAATTTAAAAGTGTAGTTAGCCTATTTTTAAGTAGTATTTTGAAGTCAAGTCTTCATTTGAAAAAAATTTACGATGTTAATATGCAATGCAAACAAAATGTTTGGCTTGGAAGAGACGAAGAGTTGAAAGTCAATGGTTATTTCGATGTATGATTGTATAAAATCGAAAAGAATATGTCAGAATTTCTATTTCAGTATTAATGTGACATATTATCAACTGTGACAGTTAAAAATCTTCATATTTTTTGCTGTTTTATATATTCTAAAAAAAAATCTTATAGCAAAAAAATGCCAAAACTTTGGAAATAAATCTCGAACACTTCAGATCTTCTAGTATTTTTTGAGATCCAATTTAATGTTTCTCTAACGATAGGCTTCTCTTTCTTACCCGATCTTAAGGACTTCTCACAACTTCATCCTTCTACATTTGATTTATCAAAACTTTCTTCTGCGTATTGGAATATTTTCAAAACACTTACTGATTTCTCAGTAACAAACAGAAAATTCCTCCAACAAAAGGAAGCGAATTCCTGTTAGTGTTTTTATACGTCGTTGTATTGCTTCCCTTACTGTTATCAAATTTCCAACCGGAAATTGGTTTTGTACTGAATCAGCACACTGAGAAATATATCTTCCATTCTTAAGTGTTGATAATCTTGTTTCCATGGAATAAAACGCATTGAACGAGCACAAGCGCAAATTATGTCATAATCAAACAGCTAAAACACCGATATGATCCAGGGCGGATTTATAATAAACATTTTCTTCAAATCAAAATGCACATGCACATTTATCCACCAATGTTTGGTATTTCTCTTCTATTACCGACTGAAATGAAATTCAACCAAATCTTGCGTGTCTGTGTATGTGTATCTGTATATATATATGTGTATGTGTGTGTGTGTGTGTGTGTGTGTGTGTGTGTATGTGTGTGTGTGTGTGTGTTGTATTTACAGGTGTGTCAAAACGTTATGCTGAATTTTACTGGAAATATAGAAATCAATGAAAATTTTTTATTTGTATTACTTAGCACTTGGCTAGTTATTTGTTAAACCTATAATAATATCATGTTCCAAGATGAAACGAGAATGATGGGACATAGGAGTCATGAGAATATGCTGCAATGACAAGGTCATTGAGTTACTCCTTTTATCCAAAGACACCTTGTCTTACTCCCTTCGTGTATTAGCCAAAGAATGGAAGATCGATCATTTACATACTTCTTCTGTTTGTTTTATTTGTAAACGATACATATGTCCTTCTTCTATTTGCTATGTAAACTTGTGAAAAGGGTAGTAAGATTAGGAGATTTGATTTCATCCTCGTAAAGTCGGCAGTCTTCGAAAATTTGCTTTTTATCAGGAAAACCAAAGATTAATCAATATATCATGAAAAGCGAAATTTCAAAAAACATCACCAATAAAAATTTTTTCTACATTTGGAAATATTTAGTGAGATCTAAAAATAACTACTGTAATGTATAGTAAGATAAAAGAGAAGGAATGTAATTGTAGCGTAGAAATTGAATAAAGTTAGCTATGAATTAACAATTGGACAATGTTAGCCATGAATTAACTAATCTACTAATCCATTTAAGGTAAACGGGAACAATAAGGGACAAGAAATATGTCCTTGAAAGGACATCAACAAAAAGGTCTATTTTTCTTCTTTCGAACTCCTTTTTACGGGTAAATGGGCAGTGATTATCGTTGAACAGATGACGCAATGTACTTATCATATTATACATTCAATTTAGTCATGCGAAATTGCATTTGTCAAAATATAACAGGACAAATTAACATCTGCATTTTGACTTTCGCTAGAATTAGAAGGGGAAACAAAAAAAAAAGAAAGAAAAAATTACGAATGATTCTCACTTCTAAAAAACTACACTCTCTCTCTCTCTCTTAAATGTTATAACTGAGGTAAGAGAATTCATTTGTCATCACTTTTCCATGTCTCGATAACCCTGCTTAGTCCATTAGATATTCAAATTACTATCTAATATTGCAAAATTGGAAGCTGGAAGTTCTTTCATTTTTATTTATTCCTTATTTCCTAAGCAGTTTCGAAATCTTTTTCGGATTAATTCATCGCTTCACAGAACTCTTACACTTTCATCAATGAGCCCAAATAATTAGATGCAATTCCAATGCAATACGAAAAATTCATAGTAATGTCAGGAAGTAAATTGAAAATTTTGAAATTTATAATTGCAACTGAGATGGATAGAATGATTTTGAAGTGAAGCGTTTCTTTGGTAAAATATTTCGCAAGGATTAGCTTTAAGAAGCTGAAGTGTCCAACGACAGATGGATGTTACTTGTACTGTTCAACAATACAAGTTTATCCAGGTTTCACTAAAGACTCTCTTTTTTCTAACTCCAACCCTGTGTGTTACCTGTTCACATAAAAAAAAAAATAGGCTGGTTAAGCAGCTTCTTCAATTCTTCATTTTGATAACAGGATGATACAAAGATAAACATCATTTGATTATCATTGCCGTTCTTCTTTTATGGATATATTCTTTTCTAACTCTTCCCACTAACCCAATAAACTTTCTAATTTACAAATGAACATTCAATTAGTTGAATCTCTCTAACTCTTACTAATTACTCAAAGTTTTCCATTACTTATACTAATGAAGCAAAGGTCAGATAAGGAACAAAATGTGATCTTCTTGGAATTTCCTTTTATTTAGTATAAATTTCACAAAAAATGATAAAGAGATGTAGACGGATGCGCAAATAATTAGTTTTGTGATTGTAGATCCAAAAGAGAAAGGTTAATCCTTTTTCAGTTACATATTACTGTGGATGATTTACAGTCTTAATTAATTACACTTAATTATATGTTTAAGACCAATATTTATCTCAACGAAGTATGGATAACTTGTGTCGCATTTTATTTTAATCTTGTTAAAAAGAAGTCTTTTTGAACAAAAGTTAGATTTACCCATTAAAAACACTTTGCACATGTCGTCTAAAATTTCTATCCTGAAAATAAGCACTTAATGGGATAGAAGGTCACCAATTCAACTTATCTTCACTATAATAACGGAGATGATGTCTTTTGTCACTTTATAGTGAATTCTTTCAAAGTCTTCGAAACTATGATAGCTGAAACTATTGAAGTTACTACTGAATTTTAACTATAGTTCAAAGAAATCTCTTAATTCTAATTGCTTAATTTTGTTAAAGCTGTCTGCAAGTACAGGTATCAATGAATGAAATATACCATTAATTAGTTTCTTATTATTTTCTCATACACAGATTGAAAGATTTAGTATGTCAGAGATAATGAGTTTGAAAAATGTGGAATTGAAAAAGACTGGCGATGAGTGAGAAAGTTGACTAGAATTATCTACAGATCGGATGGGTTGATGGTTGAAGTGGTTCTCCTCTTGTGTCATAATCAATATCACTTATCACTTATCTCACTTCTCGTCCTCCTGTAAAAATAAATGTTGATTTCGTTGGTCTTCACAAGATCAAACATCTAGCTATCTCTTCCCTGTTATGAATCTTGTATGTGAAACTTCATAACTACAGAGAATGTTGCAGAAGCATTCTATGATTTCCGATAAGTACTGGTACTAAGGCATCAAAATTGTTGTTTCATCACTATATAATCGCAAGAAATCGCTTTTCGATATCTTTGCATTTTAATATATTTTATTATTCACTAGCTTTTCATTACAAGAATAATTTCTTGTTCATTTATCGATAGCTTTCAATTCACATTTTAAGTTGTTAATACTTGAAGTTTTTGAAATTAAAATTTTAGGCTGCTTTTGTACATCATTCTGATTGTTTTGAGTTGAATGGAAATAATTTTTCGACAAAAGCTTTGGATTGGTGATGAGAATCTGTCTTGGTGGTCCTAAAATCAAATTGTTTTTCGTAATAAACGGTAATTTGTTCCCCTTTATCATTATTGTTTACAAATTCTCGATAGATTACTCATTGTTAAGTATCAATACATTTTAAATTGTATCTCTTCTATACATTCTAACAAAATTTTCTAAATTTTTATTTCAATTATCTTTACTAAAACTGTTATGAATTTTTTGTGAACAGGTAACAGATAGGGTTGGAGAGAGTGCAACACCCATCTGTCGTAACATCCATCGATGAAAAGTTTGAAATAGAAAACGGATAAACTACATTTCAATATTTGCAGCACTGTTAACAAATAACAGGATAAATTTTTGCCGTTTTGTCTTTCTTTATTTTCTGGAAAATTCGATATTTGAAATTTGATATTTTTTATTTCGATAAGGATAAGATTTTCGGATAAGATTTTTTTAAGGATAAGATTTTTTTTAAAAATTAAATCACTTAATAGAGTTGTCGCAGTTTTATAAAGAGCTTTCCTAAACTGGAGATAGAAGTTTTTTTGACCCACTTCCTTCATAAATACAAAAGAATCATTGAACGAGTAAATTACAGCATGCCTTGAAATTATGAAAAGATTTAAAATATTACAAATTGGAAAACCCCTCATAGATTAGAAGAGGAAAACAATTATCATTTCGTTTGATAAAACAAATAGGAAGACAAAGTTCTGAGAAAGTACTTTTCTGATCGGAGACGATGATAAATTAATTGACTTAGATCAAGGAATAAGCGTGCTTCATCCATCCTATAAAAGAAACAAATGACAAGTGCAGCTGGTCATTCTGGTTCTGTCTGGTTTACGCTTTTGTCCATTTATTGCTTCGTGTTCTACCTAGACTCATTAAAATCTAAATCAAATACAAGCTGATACAATTCAAGAATTTTATTTTTTTGGGACAATTTCAAATTGTCAGTAATTAATTAAATTTTGTTCGGGATTCTAGAACTGTCAGACCAAATTACCTTGCTTATTTGATAGATGGATTTAAGTGCTAGTAAAATGGAATAGTCAAGTAGCAGACATTCAAGTATCACTCCTTTTCTTGAACTATTCATTTGAATTCACCTTTTAATTTTTTGAAGAATATGAAGAACAAGTTTTTAATGTATACCAAAAATGAATTTGTTGGATTTACTCTTCAATAGAATTGTTCCCAGCGAATGGGTAATGTTCACGGTATGAATATTAAAATACCAATTTAAAAAAATGGACCGAATTACTAAATGGTCCACCACTACATCCATCACAATGCATTACTATTCCAGTTAATGGCTTCACTCTCAACTTGAATATCTCTCTACCTGTCTTATCTTCATCTCGAATACATCTCCACCTGTCTTGCTTCCGTCCTCTATTCCTATTTCAAAGTCACTTGAAAATTTCATGCTAATACTATGAAGCCTCGTTACCCTTGTTTCTGTTTTTTCTGCGAATTTGAATTTTATTAAAAACCAAGAAAAGCATTTGGCTTGGCTTTTTTGCTAGCCCAAAGGAAAACGAGACTCATCCTGTAGCCACTGCGTCAAGACGTTTTCCACGCAGATTTGGGAGATTATTATTATGACCGTGAGAAGAAAAATAGCGATAGCAGTTATTGAGCTGGTAATTAAATTTAAAGACTCAGTTGTTTGGTATAACCCATTCCAACCATTCAAATTTTTTTTTTCAGAAATAGGATTATTCGGAATAGAATTTGACAGATAATAACCGTTAGCTGTAACAATTAATAAAAGTAAGATAAGGAACAGGTAAGGAATGAGAAAAAGTGGCTGGAAATATTGACTCATCTTTAATCTTCATTTTTAAGAATAACAAATTTTGAGCATTAGTGGGAACATTGTGATGGCATTAAATGTGCGATTAAAGAAAAAAAAAAAACTTTACAACGGTTGTAAAAGCTTACAAGAAATTTACCATGTGAAATCGATTAGTAGATCTGCTCTGTTAAAATCTATCCGATGAAGTGATCATTTTTTGGTAGTAAAGCAACTACAACTATTTGCTGAAAGATATAATCACAACAGTAGCACTCTAATCGCAGCAAATTTAAAAGCCGAACATCTGGAAATTATCCATCCAACACTAACTGCTTGTAATTTTAAATTCCATCGTTATCATAACTATAAATTTAATACTTCCCACTATGTCTTCTGCTCTTTGGACTATTTGCTAGTCAAAAAGTCGCAAATTATTTAAATTATATTTGCACATGATCTATCTTAGCAGGGAAATCTCGTTTTGGCATTAACCTATTTCAGTCCTCTTTTCTGATATCAAATCTAATATGCGTTTTCAACTTTGATAATGTCCATTTCTCTCCATTCGCATTTCTAGTTTGATGATAATTCTTTGACTTCTTTGAAATCTTTAATTTCAAAGAAAATCTTTTTGAGTATGGAAATTCAAAATCAATTAATATGGTGACGGGAAATAAAGATCGGAACTTTGTAGAAGGATGAAATATCAAACTGAATCTTAGAATAAGGTTCTTTCTTCTCTCTTCTCACAGTTAAATTCAAAATCTCAAACTTCGAAATTTTTCTAATCTAAATATCATGCTGTCTCGAAGTTTAAGCAATTGTCAAAATTAACACACCTTTTCTGCAAGAACTACGTAACTGGCCACTAAAAACAGCTGTCACGATAAGGCATACTTATTATTTGCATGTAAATTTTATTATATTTTCACATACATATTATCAATCATTAGGACAACTAGCAAAATAGCCATTGTTAAAAATTGTTGTGTAGTTGTTAGCAAAGTCATTCATGTATTATCATTTATGCAAATTTTTAACTTTAATTGAGTAATTTTTAATTCTTAAATCTTTATCACTTCCCAAGATTTCTTGTAATTTTTTTCTTCAGTAAAATAAATGCTAACATTTATAGACTAAGGGAAATTTTGTTCCTATCGTACCTTTTACACGCACAAAAAATCGGAATAAATTATTTTTCTTTTTTTCGCTATCGTCACTCGCTGATATTTCGTTGTCCTTTTACTTTCATCACAACTAATCATTTTGCTCAAAGAAGAGATACAACAAAGTAAAATCTTTCGAATAAAATTTTGCTGTATAGAAATCGAATTTTCAAAATTTAGTGAGGCAAAAAGAATGTCTTAACATCCATCATCGTTGTATGTGAAAGTCTTAATTTAATAAAAATTTTCACAAATATAGGATAAGTGGATGAAGTGTGAATGCTTGTTCAATTTTTCGATGGATGAAATATTCGGAGGAGGTTAGGGAGAGAAAGAGAGAGTGCAGAATATGTTAATAGGTGAGGCGGGGTTCGGGGGATCTTGGTGCGCTCGAAAGGAGGATTCATTCATACGGCAAAACCTTTTAACAACTTATCTTCTAAGCAGTTTTATGACCAAAATAGATTGTTTTGAAGTTTTCAGTTTTATTTTACGACTAAGCCTACTTTATGATATGTTTTTAGGATATTCCTAGAAGATGATTTCCACTATTTGCTTGAACTTAGCAGTGATGTCATCGAGCTGCAAAAGAACAAGTCAATTTGCTAGTCTGCATGATCGAAAATTTCGAGAATTCCAACTGTATCAACTACCAGCTTCCTCTTTCCGCTTAATTCAACTTCTCGCCTATAGAAACTTATTCATTACGAACAAATCATTTCACTTTATTGGTAACATTTACAAAAATTAGTAGTAAGCAAAGACAATAAACAAGATATGTTACCTTTCACACCTGTAAAACTGAGAGTATGGGTTTTTAAGGACACTCCAACTTCAGGTAGGCAATGAAAACAAAACAAAATATTTGTGGTGACTCATTTCCCTTCTTCTTGTCTTTCTTGTCATAAGTCCGTTTTGTTTTTATTTGTCTGAAGCAAAACCTCGAAATCACTGCTAAGGTCTCATTAGCGTAGTTTGGGATATTCACGATAAGAAAGTATGATGTCACTACAATGTTAGTCAATAATGAAAATTAATGACTTCATTGGCAAGATTCATGAGCTACTTTTCTTGAATCAGTATCAGACATACTTATTTGCTTAGAAAAAATAAGCCTAATGTTAATAACAAAATAAATGTGATTTGTTGCTCTGACTGATATAAAACAACTAATATTCAGTTGATGGAGCAATTAATGGACCATATCTATCTCTTAGAGATTTATTTCTTGTCAAACAACAAAAAATCGAAATATCCATTGACCAAAATGAAAATGACTGATACTGAAAAGTAAAAGAATTGCCAAATGTCACCTAACCAGAGAACCGGATCATTCACCTGTTACAGTCAAATTGCTTCAAGGGGAGTATTAAAACATTTTATTCGTTTTCTTATATTATTTCTGCTTTTTATCATTTATTTATTCAGTAAGTACCACAATGCAATTAATAATGAATTAGAAAGATTTTGAATGCTCATTGTCATTTCAAATCTCAGATCTTTAAATGACAAAATGTGACATTTGTTGCAGCATAATGAGTTACTTCATGCAGAACAATCCATTAGAAAGTTTAGATTACTGCACATTACATTGTTTTTGAGGTAGATTAGTAATTGACTAATGCAAATTGCGTAAAGTGTAAAAGCAATCCATCTGAGTAGTGATTACTATCGCTTATCAGAATTACAAATCTCGAGATATAATAATGCACGAGCAACATTTTGGCTATCTACACTACTCTTAAAATCTGTGTTAATGCTCTTATGAAATGTTTGGCTTCTTTTTTAGAGCCTTAAACAGAAATAATGACTATATTAATACACATCACTTTTATGATTTACAAAGTATTTTAAATTGAACTTTTGAGACTATAACGCTCAACTCTAAAATCTATGAATGAATGGAGATTTTTGTCTTTCCTTGGTACTATTATAATCACTATCGCCATTATTATTGTTATCAATATCATTAAATTTGTCCGTTTAGAACCATCAAGCAGTTAATGATAGATATCTTAATCATTAGACAATTTTGATCAACTAATTTGATTGGTTTTTGAGGTAATTCATGAAGAGAATAAAAGTAACATACTTAGCTTACAATAACTGAACATGGAAAAGCTATTATAGCCATATTATGGTAAGACGTACTTTTTTCCAGGTTCACGCCTCAAATCAAATTTCGATGTCAAACATTTTTTCAAGTTATATATTTCAATGAGTATCTAATAATTACTGATATTATAATATTATTATCAGCAACACCATCTATTTCCTTCTGCTGATTTTATGTTGATTATAAATTGCGATTTTTAATTCGGTCTTGTCATGGTTTCCATAAAGTTATGAATAAAGTGCTCATTTCGTTTAATTCATTTTATGATTGGAGGAGAATTGGAAAAATTAGAAAACAGTTGAAAGAGTTTCAGGAAAAGTAAATAAAGGGAATATTAACAAGTAATTCTATCAGCTAGTTATACCTATAGGTCAAGACGTCAATATTTCAAGATATAGTAGGAGGTCAACATTGCTTGAAAATAAAGTCCCTCTAAGATTATTGTTGTTCGCATTACCCTAATGCCACCACTCGCTTTAATTGCAAAATGATATTATTTTGTCATAGGACCCATTACTTTTACTTTAAAGATTCCTTAACATAGGCCAAGAAAATTAAGACTTCTTAACATGTGCTAAAAAAAGTTAAAGGTCCCTTAACATTTATAAGTGAGCAAAATCTGCAAGTGTCAAATGTTCATAAAAGGATTTCCCACAAGAGCCATTCATTGTGGAATAATTTTTAATCTTTGATCATTGTGTGACACATAAAAAGTGTGGAAATTTATTCAGATTTCACACTTTTTATGCTTCATTAACTTTCGCTGATGATAGTGGAATCGCACAATATTTGCATTTGTTACTGCACTGCATCGGTGACATCGGTATATCTGTGAGCGGTATATTCCGGTGTCGTTGAAAATGAAGAAGAAAAATCTTGAAATGAAATGTTAATTGACTGATTCTAGGAAGAATACAGGTAGGGTCAGACCGTTTCAAACATTCCATGTGTCCCATCATATTTTTCGATTTCAATAAGTTTTAAGAATTTTTTAAAATTTTTTCAAAAATTTTAAAAAATTGTTACAGTTCCTCACAACTAACATAATGTTATTTGACTATTTAGGCATGTTCAGCATTTGTCGCGCTGTTTATTTTATTTATCCTTCATGTGCTTATCTACTTCTTTGTCTTATTCATCCGTCGTTTAATAGCATGAAAAGGCATTTCTTCATTGTCTCATACTGTACTTTAAGCATTACACAGGGTATTGAACTCATTATTCCGATGATGTCACTTTGATTCATGATAAAAACTTTTGAAATAAAAAAAAAATATCTACAGAAAAAAAGGGTACCATTATCAGAGTCAGTCACTATCATTGATAATCACATTTATACAAGGAAGCATTACTGTCGCGCACTTCTTTTCCGTGATATTTTCAATAATGACTGATTTTCCCTCACATTCTTGTTTGTTGACGAGAATAATCTTGAGAATAAGTCCTTCGACGATTTCCTCAAAAATCTTCTCTGGATTATTATTGCCATCAACCTGGGAAAAATTGGATTTCACTTTAAGCTTCCCCTTATAATCGAAATATTGCAGGAATCGGTAGTGTATTATGCTTCGAACATCTTATAGGCGAGCTTCCAAATTGTCGTCTGGTCTAACCTATAAACGTCCTTATCAAAATTATGATGAATCTAGTGAAAAAAACTGGAATATTTTAGGATTAATCAGCAATTATACATCTTTATAAATATGCCAGACAATGCTTATCACTACCGGAAATTTCGCAGAATTATTAGCAACTTTCCAAATTTGAGAATAAATTAGTATGTCTATTTGAAATATTGTACTGTCCCAAAAACTTATAGCGCATGTTACAGTAATAGTCAAGCTGTGAAACCTATTATTTAATTAATACTGAGGTTAACATTTAATAAAAGGTTCAATATTTCTTCAAATCGGGGAAATTGTAGTTGTAGAACTTTTTGAAAAACATTAGACCGCTGATCGTTCTTCCCACTCAACAAGCAGTAATTACTGAGCCAACTTCTTAGTTTATAAAGTAGTCTGAATTGGCAATTATTTATTCCTGAGATTTCATATTTGCTAGCTTACAGTGCATGTTTTTTGTATTTTTTGAGTCTAAGCAATAATATTTCTACCCAATGCTGTTGTAATGATATTATTATCCTATGGACTTGGCTCTTTTTTCTGGATATGAAATTGAAGTCCAACACAATTCTCTTTCACTTTCCATCTCTTCACCTAATCCTTCAGCTTTTTTGATATCATTGTGGTTATTTATCACTGTCACGAATGATTTTTCTGATCATTTTCAAACCATTGAAAATGAATGTTTCATTTCTGATCTTCCAATGTTCAAAAAGTACTTAAGAATTTAATGGCAGATGCAAATTCTTTCACCCAAAAAATTGTAATGTTGTATCCTGAATTGAACTCGAATAATGCAAATAATCTAAGTGTTGTAACAATCTAATCTGCTGATGCTTCTTCTTTTCCTTCAATTTTCTTTAGGGAAATCGAAAATAACGTTATTCTATCAGGTCATCCACTCTATGACACTTGAAATGTGCATTAGTTAAAACTTCTTCAAATCTTAAATTTCAGATAACAGAATTTGAACTTTTTGTCGACTTAATTACTTCTACAGGAGCTGCGATTTCTCTGAGTATCTCCTTCAACATGCATTTATTGCTACATGGATTTTTAAACTAATCGACAATTCGTAAAACCAGCTCCATTTCACTTTTTCATTAACTTAATTCCACTCTGAATTTAAATGAGTAATTTTAATTAGTTACAATTCACAACCAAAATTAAATGTTTCACCACACAGTCGTTGTTTCTTCATTTTCATGCATATAAGATTTAAATAGCGGTAACACTCTCTGAGGGGAAAACTAACATGCAAAAGGCATGCACTTAAAATCAAACCATTTATGATGTTTAGAATTTGAAAATTTAATGTTTTCTGGAAAGAACTTTTCATCCTGGGAAGAAAACTTTGTCAACAGCACGCTATTCTTCTCTAATATTTTACAATAAACCATTTATGGTTTTATCACAATTAATTTCAGATCTCGCAGTTTCGTTGTAACAAAATATCTCTCATTAACAACAGTAATTGACTTTTATTTGAGGGTACATTCTCAAGACCAAAAAGCTTTTAAGATTTCTGATGAGATTGAAATGTGATTTATTGACACTAATTTTTGCTAAATTAGCCTTTAAGCTGTTGAAAATTTACAATATATCAGATATTCTAGCTCAGCTCCATCAACTTGAAATGAAAAAAACATTCTCTGGGGAATAATTTTTGAGCCAATTTTTCCCATTCATAAACAGTTTTCACCACAATATTTCAAAAATTCCCATTTTCGTTCTTCTTCTATAGGATGCCATTTTTGCCTTTCGCCAGAAGATTTTCTTGCTGAAAAAGATAAATTTTGTTTATCAGATCATGGAAGATTGATTAATCCTCTAAATTTATTCTAATTGATTTGAATGATTGCAAATTTTTCAAGTCAAATTCAAGAAAAAAGCAGTAATTAGAAATTAATTCTAAATGTCACACATTTTCATTCTTTTTTGCAAGTTTATTCAGATCTTTATTTGCAATATTCGTAAATCCTTTAATTCATCCTATTTTGAATCCTAACTAAATTTCAAATTACTATTGAGTATTCAAAATTTATTCAGTTAATAACGTACCGAAATAAGTGATAATCGATTTTGACTTTCTGATGAACTACTTTCAATTCCAATTGTAGAACACAAACTGATTCTCAATTGTTCAATTTTTTGTAAATTAAGACTTTTGAGAATTACTGCCAGAATTTTATTGATGTGAGGCGGTATGATAATTAATAAAGAGGACCTTCGTGTTGGCCTTGGCTTCACCAATAAAATATTTCAAAACTTAGTTTGTTCATATTTGGTCAAACATCTGAACTTTTTTAAATTTCGATTATTTCGTTTTTTGCTCAATTGTTCCGGATATTCATGTGTTTGTTTATTTTATAATTAAACTATTGATTTGCAGAATTTACCGTTGGTAGTAGAAAATCTTAATTCAAATAATAGGTTGATGTTCAAATATTTTCATCATTAAACTATCTGCAATTCAAAGCTGAAAACTTTTACTTCATCTATTAGCTGCTAATCCTATTAATTCTGTTTTGCGATTTATCAAGCATTATTGAATTTTCTTCAGAAATATCCTGCAAACACACTGAAAATAGAATAGATTGAAGTTATTCAAAATGAATGACGACAAAAAGCACTATAAATGAATTACTGTTACATTGCATTCCTGGCGATCTTTTCAGTCGGTGGAATGATCCATCCGGCAACAATAGAAGGTTTCTTGGATGATCATCCGGATTCTTATTGGTTAGTAACAAATGTACTAAGTGTCGAGTGGCGAAAAGGATGTCTAACAACTGCTGGTTGTGCGGAACCAAGATTTCAAATAACTAAAATGAATACTGCCAACGATGAAGCCAATTTAATTAGCTGGCCTGTCACATTCAAATTAGCTGAGGTAAATCGACAAAACTTTTGCTTAAATAAATTGCTATCGTAACATTTTCAACTCTTCTAATTCTAACTTTTCAGTAGTAGTGTTTAGTACGAGTTATTATGATACAAAAGTGACAGCATAAATTAACTCGGCTCAAACAAATAAGATGTTTGAAGCTGCTAATTAACTTACTACGAGTAATACAAGATTTTCTGTCTTATCAATAATTATTTTCTAAATTTGCAGTTAAGTAATCTTAATCCATGTTTTATTTTGGTTCATTTGACACTAACATTTCAAGGAAGTATGAAAGTGGTTTTTTCATTTTTGTCGAAAAATCATCATAACATTATCTGAAAAATGACATCCATGGTGTAATGCACTTAAAATTTTCCATCAGAATGGCTCAGAACTATTTATGTAAATGAGATCTCAAGCCAAGAATAACTTATACGAGAAGTTGGTACATTTCTCTATTTCACTGACTGATGATATGTAAACACAAAGCAGTTTGTAATCATACCTATTATCGACATTAATAATACCTATTATTAATCTATCTGTAATAATCAGGTAGTAATCTAATCATGATGTCACTCCGTTCTAACTTACTGTTAGACTGGTCAAGACTTAGTAGCTGAAATGGAAAGATTAGAAGGAAGAAACCTTTCTGTTATTGCTATAAAATGATTAGCCATGTACGATAAAAGTGTGATCAGAATTTGATAGTAATGTGCTGTAGTTTACTGTCGCCATCAGAACGGCAGGCAAGATCCATGCAGTTCCAAAATTATATGCAATTAATTTTTTCTAGCTAGTTAGTCACATAAAACTTATGTGAACTTGCATAAACTTAATGCTTTTCAGAAATATATTCTTTAATACCATAAATAACCCATTAAATTTCGAGCTCTAAAGGTAGTTTAGATTTTGCAAATGCCTTTGAAATATCAATCATAATTGACAAAACTTCGAAATTGAATTTGTGAGATAAATCGGATGTAAATTGCTTCCCTGCGTTTTGATATATTTTATACCAATAGCAGCATATGCTCAAGAAATTTTGAATTTGATGCTGAAAACTATAATTTTTTGCATTTAAAATGAATGCAAAATACCAATGCAAAAGGAAATTTGATACGCCGAATGTTCTCTTCTTGACTTCTATAGAAATGAATTTCAACTTTTTAAACGATTTCAAACAACCATTTCAATTAATTTCAGAGAGGGATAGTATCAAACAAGAAATGATCGTCATTTTCAGGAATTTTTCTGTTGCCTTTCCTACAATTTCTAATTTTTTGCAGGAAACTTCACGTTCATTCATATCACATTGGACATCCAGAAGTGTTAGCGATATTATCTTGAAATGTGAAGTGGTTGGTTTGGATCCTACGTATGGATTTCCGAGGATATGCGATACCACTCATTCCAAACACATTTTTGATGATGAGGTTCTCATAACCTCATAAAATTTAAGCAAAAAGGGCTTAAATGATTCAATTGCATATAATTTAACACGATTTCTAAAAATTTTCAAATTCAAATTTTCATCAATCTCTCATTTGATTTTGTAGAATGATCATCTGGGACGGTCAAGGAAGCAATATTTGACCAATGGGAAACTTGTCGTAGAAGTGAAAGGGAAATGTTTCAATGCATCACTTGCTCTACAGAAATATGATCGTTGTCCAACATGTGTGGAACATCGTAGTATTGCTGTCGTTGAGCAGGTCTCTTCTATCCATAACAAAGATACCTTTTAGCTGCACAAAATATTGATTTTCTATATTCAATAGAATTAAAATCTGTGATTCTTTTAAACCAGTGACGAATTATGCTAATTACTGGTTCTTCTGCGGCTAATATAAGTCATAAGAAACATGCAAACTATCAGATAATTAGTTCCCTGTTTTCAATTTTCGATGATATACATTATAATTTGCAATAATTTCAGTACACTGATCCGGAAACAAGCAACGACTTCTTTCATCGTCTCAACGGCAACAGTCAGTTTCTGTATGCGGTCGTGATCCTGTCAGCATTTACAGTTATTTTGACAACAGGATTTGCTTGTTTATTGATTGCTTTTCTGCATCAAAAACATCAGGTGAGCGTATCCACGTCCAAGCAACTCTTACGTTCGGAACCACCAAATATCACACATCCGTTGCGTGCATGTGAAGATGACTCAAGGTTATCATTTTTTCAGACGATAGCAAGTATTATTTTAGTCATTTATATCTCGAAATTATCAATCCTTCCTGGTAATTTCAGATACGATGTAACGTGGGAGCAAGTGCCAACAATGTATGGACGATCACCGTATCGAAGTTTCCAAAATAAAAATGGTTTCACACCAATATCCCCTTCATTAATGGATCCCATAGCAGATGTCATGGTATTGGCTCAATCGGACTGTCGCAAAACTTCACCAAGTTCTTCATTCGGTATTGAACCACATGATAGTGGTTTAGAATTTGTTTAATGTATGTGTATCCATCTATATGATTCTTATGCTTTTAGTGGTAGTGTCATCGAATGTATTTGAAAATTACTGCCTGTAACTTTTTTCAGAATGAAATATTTCTGTTGAAGTATAAAAAGAACAAAGTAAATTTCAATCTGAAACTTTTATAATAAGGAAAGATGTAAATTGTAATTTTTCCATTCAGCTTTTAATGCATTGCTCTATGTGAAAGTATTATTTTTAATTTAAAAAAATATTTGTAAGATATGTTTATGGAGCAATTACTGCTTCCAAACAATTATTCAGTATTAAATATCTGCCCAATATGGATTATATCTGATTTTTATGCTAGATGTTTACTGAATACTTTTATCATCATTTAACTAATAATTTCAATCACTTTTTAGAAAAAATTTTGTTGCTATCTTTCAGTTTAATTTCTTGTATTCTGTTTCATTAGTGAAGGTTAGGATTACAATTTATCCATCCCTGTCTTTTTCTTGGTGTCAGCGAAAAATAATTTAATTTTTATTCCACCACATCGCTATGCAACAGTGTTTAACAGTCGAAATGAGACGGGTCTCGGAAACAATTTAAACATTTTGATAAAGATAACATTAACGTAAATCACGGTGGAACGATTCATGAGAAGTGATAAGAAAGGATGATTTAAATCCACATTAAATTTACAAGCGGACTAAAATTTCTGGGTTTTATGTTTGTTTTTTCTGGAATGTTAATTGTTTCTTAAAATCATTGTAAAAGCTGTATTCATTCAGCAACTTTGGCAAACACCGAAGTGAAAATTAGTTGAAAATTATTGACTTTGTATTCAATTACAAAATGGTTATATTAGAGAAGATCGACAGGGGAATACTTGAAGCGAATGTTAGTCGTGAATTGATTCACACTACCTGAGCTTACCAAATTTTCTGTTAAGTTTCCATCACATGAATCCTACAAAGGTAGCAAATTTGAATATAATGCGACGTGATATCTGAAAATATGTAGGATGGTCGATCCAATGTCCACCAATTATAATTATTAGCATCTTTTATTTTTAAATCAAATTTTGACCAATTCTAATGTGTGTGAGTAGTAAGAAAGGAAAATCATCAAACAAAGTGGAGACAAACATTTCTATTCTTTCTATAGAAATTTCTTTTTTCCAGAAACATTTCTATTTCTTTTCTTTTGGACAAAAAAATTTTAAACAATCTGCGACAGACATTTGATTGATGGAATCGTTTAAAAGGCAATGCATCAATCCTAGTTGTTTTACATAAATTTTGTGATAAACATAATGAAGATAGATAAGAATGTGTTGATATTGTTAGAAGTATGAAAATTAGTTGTTTCCAATGATCTCACTTCATATATGCAATTTATTTCGTAAAATCCATTATACAATGTTTCTCTTTGCTTCACTTCGATTTTCAAACTTCGTCTTGTCCCTTAGTTTTAAATGCTGAAATCTTTTCAAGCGAAAGGAATTGATTAATTAGAAAAAAAAAAATGAGTTCTGATACTGATAGGATTCACTTGCTTTGATATATTGTTATCGACGATATTTTTTGGTGAAAAATCTTTCAACCGACAAATAATTTAATTTCTTAAAATTCGAACAATTTGTAAAAGAAAATATTTGGTGTGACAATATTATTTGCTAAATTATTTATTTCAAAAACTGAAATTTACAAAAACCTGGATACACAACCACACGATATAATTTCTTTATCAATGATACTATCTATTCATATTTACCGATTCATCTGAATGCTATTACTCATGTAGCTCTCAGTTATTTTAATTCCTCAATGCTTCCAAGCATTTCGCAGTTTCTTAAATAAATTTCGGAATTTCAAATTCAATTTTTTAGGAGAAATAAATTGTCAGTACACAATCTCATCTATTAGATTTAGTGTTAACGATTGTAAAGCAATCAGTCCACCGGAAAAAAACCGGTTTATGTTCCGCGAACATTCCGGTATGCACTACTTTTATTCATAAGTTATTCATTGATAAATATTTCTGATTAACAACAATTTCGGGTCTTTCAATTTTAGTCTTTTTTCTTTTCAGTCTTAAGTGGAACATAAGACTGATAATATCAGAAGAAACGTTATCGTAATATAGCTTTCATTTAGATGACCATGTTTAGGTGGAATTAGTTCTCTTTAAGTAATTCAATGTGCTTTGTCCACGTATGTGTTTTCAGCACAATCAGAAATTTAAATATAGACAAACTTACAAAACTTTTTCAATAAAGTGAAATTTGATTGAATCTAGTCAATATGTTTAGCGAACTCAACTGAAGTGCATTTCTTAAAGTGAGTTCATATGGGGATTTTATAAAATAAAGCAAGCAAATGTGGTATCTTTATCATGAAAACAGATCTAAGTAGTGGACCAAACTGCTTTGCTGATGCTTTCTCGTCGTCTGGGAATTATCGGTTCTGGATCCCGTCTTTAAATGTAGCGAAATTCAATTATTTCAGTAGCGATTTATCCAGCTGATAATTTACTTGAACTTTATTTACATCTATTTCAATTGTTTGCTTGAATATTTATTCATGAGTTTTAATCATTCTTGTCCGTTTATTGTTTTATTTATTTGACCATCGCCGACTTACTTTACTTTTATTCCTTAAAATTTATCTGATCCTATCGGTTGATAGTGCCTCCGAATTCATAGAATATTATAATGTAGATATACAATAATATTCTGAACTATTGTGTTATTGAGTTGAAATTCCCGAATTAAAAGAAAAAGATTTCTGAAAAAATTTGTCTAATTTTTTTGTATTTGTGTCAGTTTTTGACAATATGTTTTGCAGAAGAATTTATATTTTTAGTGTGTTCCGTATCTGAGAGTTTAGTTGTCTAGATTAATTTCTTACCACGAAGGTATGATTACGATATTAGCAATGATTAAATATAGGTAAGTAATCGAGTTATACCACTCCATTTACTCGTAGATGTTTAAAATTTTTAAACCAATTAACGCTTTTTCTTAAAATTTCTTGATTCACTGATTTCTTTCATTTACTGCTATTCGCCGGTTGACGTTTTTTTTTATCTTCGAATTTATTCTATGTCATCAGCATTGTTTAATACTGTGAAGGAAATCACACTTCCTCCTATTATCAGCTTAGTTGTTGTTAATATTACTGATATGATAAAGCGCTAATACAAATGCAATTATTGTCATCATAGTTTATTGCTTGCTTAATCATTTCGGGTTTTGTTATCCACTTAGTTATTTTCATTCACAATAAGTAAAAAATGAGATTTTGCTACTTTTATTTACAAGTATTGGACTCATAAAACTGTATATAATATTGAAGTCGACTTACGAACAATACCAATAATACATATCATTTTCAGGGCTTCCATGACTTTTACATCATGTTGACGATGATCTAATATACGAACTTTATTAGAAATTCAAATTTAAATAGGACGAATCAATTTTCAGCACTATTTTATTTAATTTCGACTGCGGATATCTTTTTTATTTAAGATGTCAATTCAGTTCATTTTTACTTAATTTACTTTATCTATTTTGAAAACTTCACTATTAGTAATAATTATTACATGCAGTTTAATTTAAAGTAAAACTGATTCTATTATTCAACTTCGGCCACTGGAAGAGAATTGGGACTGTGGGTGGTATGATGGCTATTATTAGTTCTCATGAACTGTCTACTGAAATTGCTACTATCTGTTACAAAAAACGTATCCCACATGTTCTTCTGATTATTAAGATAATGAGAACACTGGACGATGGACCGGAATTAGAATGAGTGGCGCTTGATCGGTGACAAAGAAATCAGTGTTCCATTTTGATGTACAAATCGGAAATAAAACCTTATGTATTTGGACCATATGGTTGCATTCATTGTTCTGTCTTTTCAGTTATAAATCTTAAATTTTTTTAAACGCTGAAAACTATTTTATAAGCCTCGCAATGTCTAATTCCTCTCTTAAACACATCTTTTAGAAAATTTAGATGTAGTGGTTGCTTAATATTTTACTAATTGAAGCTGAAGTTTAAACTTCGTTAAAAGTTCGAGGTAGCAAAAAAATGATAGCATATCATTTTATTGAAAAACTTGTTATGAAATTCATTCTCAAGAAATCCTACAGGTGAGAGAAAAGAGTCATATGATCATATAATATAAAATATTGTGGCCCCATTATTAGTGGTCTATTCAGATATGCCAACTAATGTCCGCTTTTAAATAGCTTCGTCATGAATATATCGATCATTTCGGTTCGACCAATTTCTAATTCATTAGTTTATGATTATTGAATTTCGATTTATCGCATTAGTGAATAATCAGTTTGGCTATTTTGTGCCCACAAATGCAATCAAAACTAATCATTTGCACAAAAAAAAATCCCTCGAGGTTACACCTGACAAATGCTTCTTTTTTTATCATTACGGCGTTACCGTGCAAAAAATATCAAAAAACTATTTATTGCTACAATATTCAAATTATTTTGATTTATATAATACCGTAGTCGCTCTAATTCTGATTTTCCATAAAATGTTCTGACAAATAATGTTGACTATGTCTGACTTTTGACTTTTCTTATTAACTTTTCGCGCAGTTTAACCACTTTGGAGTAAGCTGTTTACAGGAGCATTTTTTCTGACAATTTATCTTTTCAGGATTAATGACACAAATGGCATCCTGTGTGATAAAATAAGAGGATGTTTATCAGCGTATCAGACTGGCCGCAAACAATGTTGTATATTATATTGACCCTGATACCCGTTGTTCATTCCGGTTGTTACCAAAAACAGTTATGCTGCCTCGGGTATAACTTTACTTGTATCGCAGTGGAAGACGGAGTTGGTCATCTACCTGCAAAGTTTCGTCAGCAAAGGTTGAAGAAAATAGGAAAAGGCAGATTACATGTTGCTGTTTACAATAGAAAAATGAAACGAACAGGTAAATTGGTGTTACGGGATCTGATTCCTTTGAATGATGCGGCACTTGAAACGTTCAGTAATCACGGTTAGTTACCTTTGTGAAGGGTTCACTTTTCTGCTACTAATTCCTTTAGTGAAATGAAAAAAAAAAAACGCTGCTTTACATTAGGATCCATATTGAAATTAGCAATTCTGTAGCACAAATGCTTTCTTAACGGTAGAAATAATACGGCGAGATCAATGTAATCAAGTAAACAGACAATAGCAGACTAAGCTCTTCCTCCTTCATACTTATCCATTCATTCTAATCGTTGGAATCGTTGCATAACGATTTACATAGGTTTTTATAATATATTATGTTTCAGACTATGGTCTATTCGGTGATTATTTGAACAACGAAGGGAAACAATCTGAAGCGGTAAAACTCCCTAATAGTACTGCGGTATCACCATTTGTTCACTATCAGCTCATTTTCGGTCAACCATTTTACTCCGGAGAACAGCAGCCAGAAACAACACGTTATTACCAACGCCATAAACTTATTCGGTATTTGGGCATTACTTTGAGATGTCCCAGTTACTACACGAATATTTTAGAGATAGGCAGAAATATAGCCGAGATAAGTATTTATGAAAGAAAGTATAAGTTATGATTTGGTGATTTTCTCCTAAGTAAAGAAGGAAATGATTTTGCAGAAAATCATTTTTCCAGAGGAAATCATTTTAAAGTTCAAACCGTTCTGGTAGTAATATCATTTTCCGGCTTATCAATAAGTAGTGTTAATTGAAAAGAAACCTTTTTTCTTTACATCTCTTTACCTGCTCTTAACTATATTTTTATGCCATTAAGAAATGATAGTGAAATGACATTGTCACCAGTACTCTTTTATTTCTGTGGTTTCCTAAACTAATGCTTCAACAAAAAAGTAAATAAAAAGACTGGAGGAAGAATATGATCATGAAGTGATCTAAAACAAAAGTGGATTATTACATTTAAATAACACATTTCAGGTACTCATTATTGAATCGACACATTCCACTAACAGTGAAAGATTCTCGAGGTATCGGATGGTCAAATGATGTGACAAAGCTGGCAGTTATGGGAAATACAGCCTATGATAATTCATGCTACTGTGACGAAAAATGTGTAACATTCGATGATTGCTGCTCCGATTACTCATTCGTGTGTCCACGTATGTTTCCTTTACTTTTTCAAATTTCAAAGTAGTCTCTTTGTTTCGACCTAAAGTAGCATAGTGCGAAGACTGTGAATGGGACTGAAAACGTTTGATATTCAAAAGCTTTGAAATTTGCAAATGGTATGTTTTATTGAAGTCGTAATCTTAACTTCTTTTAAAATGTTATTTTTGGAAGATCAGGGAGATAGAAGTCAAGTTTTATAGCATTTTACAAAGTACCAAATTTGAAGTTGGCTAATTAGGATTTCATCAAATATAAGAAGTTACAGCATCTGATTGTACTGTTAGTGAATGGTCTGCTTGGTCTCAATGTATTCCGGATCAGGGAAGTTGTAAAACTGGCATACAGACCCGGAAACGTACCATTGACAGGAAATCGGAGCATGGTGGAATGGAATGTCCATCTTTGGTCGAAAAAATGAGCTGCTTCAAAGAATGCCCACAGCTGAGGAGGCGACACCAATCAGGTGTGTTGTGTTCTGATAAAGGATTTTGGGAGCAAAAAAAAAGACATATTTTGTAATTGTTTAATGATTGAAAAAAGCAAATTTCTTGGAAGTAATTTGAAAATGTTCATATATGCTATCAGGAGGAAGAAATTGTCAAATAAATTAATTTTAGTGAAATTTTCTTTTCCAATCTTTTTAGGAATTTTAAAAAATCCTTCAACTTTCTATCATTTGTTAACGATATCTGACTTATTTAGAAATTACTCCTGTAGCACTTATCCTGGATTATTCATACAACAAAACACGAGAAAGGTTCAGTCGTGGCAACATTTACAACGAAGTGATTGATAGCAGGAACAAGTTGCTTTAGTTAGTTTTTATTGTTGAAATGCTAGTTGTCATTGTCAACAATCGACGTCTTTGGCTCCTAAAAATTTCCGTTTTTATGGCTTTCAGTATTTTGAAAAGTATTCTAAAATGTTTCAGTCAGGATATTAAAGATATTCGATGGTTGTACTTAAATTTGCTTAAGTCAGAATAAAAAAAGACACCAATAGCAACCACGTTGATCTTTTTTCTTTTTGTTGAAGGATGAGCAAAATTAATGAATGAAATATTAGCCTGTTGAACTTTAACCTATTTTGTGTGGTTATTTAGCTATTGTGGAATTTATGAATTGGGTTGGTGAATTCAAACTGCATTGATAAGAAGATCGGTTACAAGTCTTTAATACCGGACAATAACATCTGTGTAGAATGCCAGCCAGAAGCGACAACTGTATGGTAATACTAACAAGTAAGTCTATTTTATTTTTC